TCTATCTGTCTCTGTCTATCTCTATCTGTCTCTGTCTATCTCTATCTGTCTATCTGTCTCTGTATATCTGTCTGTCTTTCTCGGTCTTATCTGTCTTGTCTGTCTGTCTCTATCGCTCTATCTGTCTGCCTGTCTTTGTCTCTCTGTCTGTCTGTCGCTGTCTCTCTGTCTATCTATCTATCTGTCTGTCTGTCTGTCTGTCTGTCTGTCTGTCTGTCTGTCTGTCTGTCTGTCTGTGTCTGCCTCTGTCTATCTATCTGTCTTGTCTATCTGTATCTATCTATCTATCTATCTATCTATCTATCTATCTATTAGGGCTGCACGATAAATCGCATGCGATATTTAACGCGCATCTGCCCTACTATCTATCTATCTATCTATTAAACAAGGAAACTCTTGTGACAGGAGGGCATGACAGCTGCAGGTTCTGCATGACTAGATACTCACAGTCCTCAGCTCTGGTCTGTTGAGGGAACATGTAGTTAGTGAGTACGGTCTTGCGCGTCTCCGGATCCTCCTCTTTCTGCAGGGGAATAAGGGGCTTTGACTGAAAAAGACAAAAAAAAATTAAATACAGGATCAATGATTTGTAAAATTCAATGATATGCCTTGGGTATGACATTTCCAAAATCTCACACACAGCATGAGGACTCTGCCGCTCTGGACAGCTCTCATTATAGATTCAGGCCATGCAGCTCTGGCTTTGAACTCATCTCATCTTTAATCAAATGCAGCTTTATAAATCCACACATCACAATCAATAGAGAACAGCGTGCCACCTTCATCTTGCAGCGCAATCTTCATCAGCTGTCGATATTCCAGCTGAGAAATCCTTGCAGAGCGGTTGCTTCACAGAGGATTTTGGCAATACCTTACCATACGGCTCATGTTGATTAGATGCACTACCAGTGTTTTATTATTTCATAGCGGCGTTGTTCTCATGCATTCAGTTGAACTTGCTTCAGTTATTGTTTCCTTGAAAGCAAATATCACAACGACGTGGATTTCACTGCAATCTGACCCAGTGCTTGTGAGCATTAAAGTCCTACAGGTTTGTAATGAAATGAGAATGAGGAAATTTTGGGGTGAACTATTGCTTTATTAAATATCATATCTTAAGATAAACTATGTGCTATGTTGAACCTCAGAGGTGGGCTGACGGCGTGTGTGGGAGTGGAGCTGATTGTTATATTCAATAAGCATTAGTCAGAGGCTTGATGGCCACTTGCGACAATCACTCAGGCTTTCAATTACAGATCACCCACACACACTCTGAGCTCTGCTGATGGGAACATCAAATCACTCTGCCAACAGCACAGACCCTGCTAAAGGACAAGCTTTTCAAGTGTATTTCCGGGAAGTGACTGTGAATGAGATCATTGGGATGCTGTAAAATATGTAATTTTTTAACATGGCTCTCTGAAATGCTCAAATGTGATTAAATATTTATGTATACACACGGATAAAATATAATTGACAGCTATCCCAGGCAACCAACTTCTTTCATAGCTGCTAGTTTCGAGTCTTATAGCACTTATTTCCTCACTTTTTGATTAATGGATTTCTTTTCCATTTGTTTTTGAGTACTAGAAAAGCATTTATTAGAAATAATTTATTATATTATATATTTAACATATTACATTTCTGACCAATCTTTTAAACTCAAAGGCCTCAGATGTACAACACAATATAAAAAAAATATATTTTATATATTTTAATATTTTCATATAAGCTGAGATATTTATAGTAGTTCTGCTGTAATTATGATAATTATATAAATATATATATAATAACAGAAAGTGGGTGCATTTATATATTAATCACAATTAATTTTGTGATTCCAAAGCATTTCAGTTTAGATTTTTATCTGGGGTTTTTTATATTTCGATTATTTATATTTTATTATATGTTTATTATTTTATTTGAATAATTTGTTAATTATTTAATGATTTTTAAAAAATTCATTTAATTGTTATATTATTTTAATAATATTGCATTAATTTCTGCGGTCCTCTTGGGAGTTTGTGGATTATATTATATTATATTATATTATATTATGGTCACAGTTTATTTTAAGGTCCAACTATCACTATTAACTACAACTTTAGCTTCAATAAACTCCTAATTTGCTGCTTATTATTAGTAAGGTAGTTGTAAGTTTAGGTATGGGGTGGATTGACGATCTAAAATATGGTCATGCAGAATAAGGCATTAATATGTGTTTCATAAGTACTAATAAACAGTAGTATGCATGCTAATAAGCATAGCACTAGTTACATGATTGGTTCCTAAACTAAAGTGTTACTTTATATTATATTATATTATAATATTATACAGACATTTCCACAACTTCGTTAGATTTTATTAATTTCAAATGACTTGTTCACACCTTTAAATACTTGTTTTACATTTCTAGCTTTTCGACAAGTGTGGGAACTCTGTTCTACACAATAAATGTCCATGTATTTCATTATTTATTTAGAATGTAGCTAAGTAGCTGTGTAAAAAACAAGTTAATTTCCAGTCTGTCGGTCATTATCGCAACAAACAAATCAACCCTTCGCTTGTATTGCAGTCCTGATCACTCTGCTGGTGTTTATTTCACACTAATGACTGTATATTGTGCCTTGTGTATCTGAACTTTGCCCACCTGGTTTTCAGACAGCCACATTGCGGTCATCTGGTTGAGTTTAGTGAAGCTGTACGGAAGATTCTTCAACCTGCACAAAGAGCAGAAACTTGATTACTGTACGACAAATAAGAAACAAGTGAGAATGATAGTATGCTGAAATAAGATAAAAATGGGACACATGTCAACATATTCTGTTACACCAAATACACAAAATAATGATCTTTAAAAAAAGCATCATATGACCCCTTTAATAAGAACACCGTAAATTGAGAAAGAGTCTGGTATAATGTGTATCAAGGCTTAAAAATATAGCACAGGGAGCAGAAAATCCAGTTATATTTTCCAGCCTGTTGAATCACAGCCAAATGCGTCTAAGTGGTTCTCTCAGAAAAATGTCAAAGTAATGGCTCTCTCAGCCACCAGATGCGTGGCCAGGTTGGAAACGTTTGTCACTGAAAGATTTCATATACGTGAAGAGTGTCAACTGTTGGTTCATTTGGTTGGACATTTATAAAGAGAAATTATTGTCCTTGGGTCAAAACAATGTACTAATTTGATTTCATAATATGACTTGAAAAAGGTAGTCATTTTGGATAAAAGTTAAATTATTAGTAGAAATTAGCAGGTGATGTTTTCGTATACGCTGCAGACTGTTGTGTGATATGATGCTTGGCAGTGTAATGCGGCACAGAGGCACGTACTTGTTGTCGCTGAAATTGATGACCTTGAGTTTCTGCATGTCACCCATCTCTTCCGGCAGAGTCTCCAGCTTGTTTGAGTGCAGGAAGAGAACGGTGACGTTCTTCAAACTGCCCATCTGTCAGATGCACAAACATACACATGAAGAAGCACAGCCGATATCTACCGCGTCTCCTGGTCAATGCTTTGATCAGACTGCAGGATCGATGCGGTAGAGATTGAACCATTTTGTAGGAGTAGTTTTGACAGCAGCAGTGAGAGTTTGTTCAGCTTGTTCATTTCAATATCTAATAGGGTAATACATGTCGCACTGGTAAAGCTAATTCCTAATCCTGACACGTTTCGCACAAAACAAGACTCACTGAAGCAGATGATAATGGATATTGTGTCTATACTTGCCTTTACAAAGCATTTGAAGGCACTGCTGGTACTTGATGGATATATGTATGATAAACTCACGCCTCAATTAGACTATTTAACGTGCTATCAATTGTGATACACCTTTCCAATGTTATGGACATCGCTATCTTTGATGCTGTCGCTATGGTTACCTCGATGCGGTTGTTCGTTAATACAGGTATGTATTCATACAGTATTCAGTTTGTTCATACAGATATGTATTCGACTTCAATCTGCTGAATGAAGAGAAAGTTTCAAGACTCACACCTAAGCAAATGCTGTTGTCAATCCCAAACAGTGGCTGTGAATGCAGCACGGACATTTACTGAGAGATGCCTTTTAATTCTCGCCACTTTATTTTTTCATGTTGGGATTGTTTTTATTTGTTAAGTAAGTATTGCATGAGAAAATGTTTAAGTACAACATTGAAAAATTAATGGCAGAGGTTGCGGTTATTTATTGGTTAATGGTAAGGATTAATTGACTAATCAGAATATAATAAATACATTTAATGTAAAAAAAAAAATAGGTTTATCTATTAATCATAAAAAATAATCAATAGATTAATCGATCATCAAACTAATCATTTGTTACAGCCCTAATATTTAATTAAACACTGTGTTTCCAGTAAGATCTGTGGGGCATTTCACATCATTTTTAATAGCAAAATAAATGCTTTTTAAATCACTATTTCCATTTCTTAAATGTTGTATCATTATGATTCCCACATAAGTTTTACTCAAAAAAAACTTTTTACTCATTCTTGGCTAATCTGTCTGGCTAAAAATCTGTTAAGAACGATCTGTTTTGTGAATGTTATATCTATTAAAATCAAACTTAAATCCCATCCTGCACTATTTTCCATACAAAATTCTTTTTTTTTTAATGCTTAAAATGCATGATACTACGGAAGTTAAACGCCATTTGATGTTGTCTTAAATAAATTGTGCCGGGACCGGACTGACCTCTGGAGGCATCTGTGTGAGCAGGTTGTGATCTGCAGCAAACGTCCGCAGGTTCACACACTGGCCGATGGTGGACGGCAGCGCCTCGATCTCATTGAAGCTGCAGTCGAGCTCATCCAGAGTCGTGAGTCTACAGAGACAAAAAGATGCGTATGTGACATGCCAAACTGTTATGCAACAGTTTATAAAGTTTTGCAAACACTGCAATAGTGTTGAGGAGTAACTAACTAAAAGTTTTGGATGGCGCTAAACCAGTGGATCTAAATCCTGGTCCTGAGAAATAGCCCTGAGAACTCAGATTCATTGTGAAGGCAATTAAACCAGCTGTCTGTGTTCCCTAGAGTGCTTATTCTGCCCTACACCAAAATAAATCTTTTCTGATCCCCAATATAAATTGTTGATGGAACTGGTTGGCAGAGTAAACGCTTTTTATGCCAAAATGCCAAACTGTGGAATAAAATAAATGTGTGAGAGAGAGAGAGAGAGAGAGAGAGATCAAGACACGATGCAGAGCAAGAGACACTGATCATTGCTAAACTGAATATAACATTTACATCCAACTGATTATGACTTAACGATGCTAATCAATCATGTCGTGTCATATTTAAGAGATTAGGAATTATTGTGGTTTCTTCACTTATCTAAAATGGATTTGATGCCAGTTTCATAATCTAAAAGATACAAAAAGCTCATGTAAAATCAAATGTTGTTTATAACTTATAACATAAAACTTCCCCAGTACAAAAAACTAAAAGAAAAAACTAAAAATCAAACAAAAACTAAACAAGAAAAAAACATGAAACAAACAAACAAAACCATTTAAAGAAATGAAGAACAGCTCACTTTGGAATAATTTTTTTCTTATGTTAGAATCCCAAAATACATGGACAGAAGTTTGGCCCATCAAAGTACGGAGAGGCCTACTTCCAAAACACCTAAACAATTATATATATACATAT